GTGATGCCACCCTCATCCCCACACACACCCGTGCCCCCACCCACAGCTGGCAACTCGTCACTATTACAGACCTTGTCAGCGGGCGCCGCGAACTCCTCCGCAGCAGCGGCGGGAGGGGAACCAGCGGCAGCCGCGGAACCCCCCGCAGCAGCAGCGGGAGGGGAACCAGCGGCAGCCGCGGAACCCCCCGCAGCAGCCGCGGACCCCCCCGCAGCAGCAGCGGGAGGGGCACCCGCGGCAGCCGGGGGGTCCCCCGCAGCAGCGGGCGGAACCGGCCCGGCTCTGTTTGGACACAATTTTATCACGTGCCCCTCCTGTCCACATCCAAAACACTTCATATTTGCAGAAGTCGCGAATAATAGGTATTCAAAATCGTCAAGCTTTACATGAAACCTAACGTTGAATTCTTCCCCCTGTTTATTAAGAATCATAAACAGTTGTCTCCTGTGAGAGACAACGTGCTTGAGAAGGGGGGATTTACACCCCGTCAAGATTTTCTTGATCGGGGACACCACCTTCCCATGTCTGGACAACTCCTTGATTAGGAACTCGTCACTAATAAACGGGGGGACATTAGACAAGGTGATCTTCGTGGCTGGCAGCATCAGTGGTGACACCTGTAAAAACAAGTCTCCCACTGATATGCCAGCCTCGACCAGCTGCCGAGCTTTCTCCTCGGTGTCGACAAAAATCACTACAGCCCCGTTCATGCGAGCTGCAGATTTAATGGACCCGTGTCCAACCACCAGTGAAAACAGTGATAAGGAAAAGTTAAAGATTTAGAATATTCGATAATTCTTACGATCTCCCTTCCTCAGCTCCTCCACACACATCTCTCTCTCTCTCTGTCTCTGTCTCTGTCTCTCTCTCTCTCTGTCTCTCTGTCTCTCTGTCTCTCTCTCTCTCTCTCTCTCTCTCTCTCTCTCTCTCTCTCCACTTGCAAAGCTTGTAGATGACTGTAATTTTTATCATAGGTACTCTTCAACTGTGAGTGATGGAATCTAAAACAAAAATCCAGAAAATTACAATGTATGATTTTTAAATAATTAATTTCCATTTTATTGTGTGAAATAAGTATTTGATACACCAGAAAAATGAAACTTAATATTTGGTACAGAAACCTTTGTTTGCAATTACAGAGAACAGACGTTTCCTGTTGTTCTTGACCAGGTTTGCACACACTGCAGCAGGGATTTTGGCCCACTCCTCCATACAGATCTCCTCCAGAGCCTTCAGGTTTCGGGGCTGTCGCTGGGCCACACGGACTTTAAGCTCCCTCCAAAGATTTTCTATGGGATTCAGGTCTGGAGACTGGCTAGGCCACTCCAGGACCTTAAGATGTTTCCTACGGAGCCACTCTTTAGTTGCCCTGGCTGTGTGTTTTGGGTCGTTATCATGCTGGAAGACCCAGCCACGACCCATCTTCAGTGCTCTTACTGAGGGAAGGAGGTTGTTGGCCAAAATCTCACGATACATTGCCCCATCCATCCTTCCCACAATATGGTGCAGTCGTCCTGTCCCCTTTGCAGAAAAGCATCCCCAAAGAATGATGTTTCCACCGCCATGCTTCACGGTTGGGATGGTGTTCTTGGGGTTGTACTCATCATTCTTCTTCCTCCAAACATGACGAGTGGAGTTTAAACCAAAAAGTTCTATTTTTGTCTCATCAGACCACATGACCTTCTCCCATTCCTCCTCTGGATCATTCAGATGGTCATTTGCAAACTTCAGACGGGCTTTGACATGCGTTGGCTTGAGGAAGGGCACCTTGCGTGCACTGCAGGATTTTAATCCTTGACAGCGTAGTGTTACTGATTGTTTTCTTTGAGACTGTGGTCCCAGCTCTATTCAGGTCATTGACCAGGTCCTACCGTGTAGTTCTTGGCTCATTCCTCATCTTGGCTCATTCCTCACCTTCCTCAAGATCAATGATGCTCCACGAGGTGAGATCTTGCATGGCGCCCCAGACCGAGGGAGATTTTCCGTTATTTTGTATTTCTTCCATTTTCTAATAATTGCACCAACTGTTGTTGCCTTCTCACCAAGCTGCTTGCCTATTGTCCTGTAGCCCATCCCAGCCTTGTGCAGGTCTACAATTTTATCCCTGATGTCCTTACACAGCTCTCTGGTCTTGGGCATTGTGGAGATGCTGGAGTCTGATTGATTGAGTGTGTGGACAGGTGTCTTTTATACAGGTCACGAGTCCAAATAGGTGCAGTTAATACAGGTAATGGGTGGAGAACAGGAGGGCTTCTTAAAGAAGAACTAACATGTCTGTGAGAGCCAAAAGTCTTACTGGTTGATAGATGATCAAATACTTATTTCACACAATAAAATGGAAATTAATTATTTAAAAATCATACATTGTATTTTTCTGGATTTTTGTTTTAGATTCTATCACTCACAGTTGAAGAGTACCTATGATAAAAATTACAGTCATCTACAAGCTTTGCAAGTGGGAAAACCTGAAAAATCAACAGTGTATCAAATACTTGTTCTCCCCACTGTAAGTGGAGTGGAGGTGGATGTTATAGAGGAGGACTAACAGGTCTTTGAGGGCCAGAACTGTTGCTGATTGGCAGGTGTTCAAATACTTATTTGCAGCAATAACACACAAATAAATTATTTAAAAAATCATACATTGTGATTTCCGAATTTTTCTTTTAGATTATGTCTCTCACAGTGGACATGCACTTAAGATGAAAATTTCAGACCCCTCCATGATTTCTAAGTGGGAGAACTTGCAAAGTCGCAGGGTGTTCAAATACTTATTTTCCTCACTGTAGTACATTTACTTTAGGTTGTTGAGAGAAAAACACAAAGTGCAGTTTTTCCAGAAATGTTACGAGTTTGTGGAATCAGGGGTTCTGCAGAAATCTGACAAGTCATTCTGAGAACAAAGAGAATTGTAGTGGTAAACGTTTGTCTGTAAAAGAAACTTAATAAATTTGAAGGTATTAAAGAAAGCTCAGTGGATCGTAATTACAGTGAGGAAAATAAGTATTTGAACACCCTGCGACTTTGCACGTTCTCCCACTTAGAAATCATGGAGGGGTCTGAAATGTTCATCTTAAGTGCCTGTCCACTGTGAGAGACATAATCTAAAAGAAAAATCTGGAAATCACAATGTATAATTTTTTAATAATTTATTTGTGTGTTACTGCTGCAAATAAGTATTTGAACACCTGTGAAAATTAATGTTAATATTTGGTACAGTATCTTTGTTTGCAGTTACAGAGGTCAAAGGTTTCCTGTAGTGTTTCAGCAGGTTTGCACACACTGCAGCAGAGATTTTGGCCCATTCCTCCACACAGATCTTCTCTAGATCAGCCAGGTTTCTGGGCTGTCACTAAGAAACAGAGTTTGAGCTCCCTCCAAATATTTTCTATAGGGTTTAGGTCTGGAGACTGGTTAGGCCACTCCAGAACCTTGATATGCTTCTTACGGAGCCACTTCTTGGTTCTCCTGGCTGTGTGCTTTGGGTCATTGTCATGTTGGAAGACCCAGCCATGACTCATCTTCAATGCTCTAACTGAGGTGAGTGGAATTAAGACCAAAAAGTTATATTTTGGTCTCATCTGACCACATAACTTTCTCCCATGACTCCTCTGGATCATCCAAATGGTCATGGTCAAACTTAAGACGGGCCTGGACGTGTGCTGATTTAAGCAGGGGAACCTTCCGTGCCATGCGTGATTTTAAACTATGACGTCTTAGTTTATTACCCACAGTAACCTTGGAAACAGTGGTGCCAGCTCTCTTCAGGTCATTGACCAGCTCCTCCCGTGTAGTTCTGGGCTGATTCCTCACCTTTCTTAGGATCATTGATACGCCACGAGGTGAGATCTTGCATGGAGCCCCAGTCCGAGGGAGATTGACGGTCATGTTTAGCTTCTTCCATTTTCTAATAGTTGCTCCAACAGTTGATCTTTTTTCACCAAGCTGCTTGGCAATTGCCCTGTAGCTCTTTCCAGCCTTGTGGAGATCTACAATTTTGTCTCTGGTGTCTTTGGACAGCTCTTTGGTCTTAGCCATGTTAGTAGTTAGTGTCTTACTGATTGTGTGGGGTGGACAGGTGTCTTTATGCAGCTACCAACCTCAAACAGGTGCTTCTAATTTAGAATAATAAGTGGAGTGGATGTGGACATTATAGAGGAGGACTAACAGGTCTTTGAGGGCCAGAACTGTTGCTGATTGACAGGTGTTCAAATACTTATTTGCAGCAGTAACACACAAATGAATTATTAAAAAAATCATACATTGTGATTTCTGGATTTTTCTTTTAGATTATGTCTCTCACAGTGGACTTGCACCAAAGATAAAAAATTCAGACCCCTCCATGATTTCTAAGTGGGAGAACTTGCAAAGTCGCAGGGTGTTCAAATACTTATTTTCCTCACTGTAAATACCCAAACTACTGTTATATTTTTATATTCTCTAAATTAATTTACCAGGATGTAAATGTATGCTTAATTACATCAAACTGTTGTACTTATTAATTTTCCACAAGTATAGTAAAGTCTCACTTATAGCTCAGTGGCATCATTTGATTAAAGGGGGTATAAACAAAATGTTTTCCACACGTCATAAACGTTTGGTCTTTTTCTTTGTTTTAAAATGTAAAAATATTGATAAAAGCCAACAGTTTATTTTAGTTTTCAAACTTCAGAACATAACAAAACTAATTGTTGTTGTTGTTGTTGTTGTTGATGTTGTTGTTGTTGTTGTTGTTGTTGTTGTTGTTGTTGTTGTTGTTACAACAATATTTAAATTTATATCTTTGTTTTGCTCTTCAAGTAGATATTTTTTTATAGTAGAAAAGGGGGAAGTAATGGCTTTTTTCTTTTTTTTTTGTTTTACTGTTAAGGTTGCAGACCCCAGTAATTGTACAATAAAGGCCTCTTCCGAAGTATTCTTTACATGTATGTTTTTGATTTGTTTTGTTTGTGCAAACAGGAAATCAGTCAGATCATTTCTGTTTTTCCCTTTTTTATTTGTAGGTTTTTCAGCAAGCATTACACAGACAGCCAAACACAGCTGCACAGTACCTACAGCAGATGTACGCCGCCCAACAGCAGCATCTGATGCTGCAAACTGCCGCCCTGCAGCAGCACAGCCTCAGCACCGCCCAGCTGCAGAGCCTGGCAGCTGTACAGCAGGTCAGCAAGTCACCGTCACATTTATTTAGTCTAACACTAGAGAGGTGATGATTGCTGCTTCCTGCGAGAAGCCACGCCTCTGAAATTGTACTTTACTGTTTCCCCTTCTTGTCGTTTTTTTTTTTTTTTTTTGCTCCATGATAGGCTAGCATTGCAGCTGGTCGGCAAAGCTCTTCACAGAATGGCACTTCATCTCAGCAAGCAGGGTCCACTCAGGCTACAGTGAGTGCAGTTTTAAATGCTGACCCATCGTTCTGAAAGCCTCTTAATGTTTAGGTGGTCTTTATATATCTATCATAGAACTAAATTAACTTTAAACCTTGAGCCCTACATTGCTATTAGCTCCTTCGCTCCTTTTCTTTTACATTTAAAGAGGTGCAATGTAATTTTTGCAACAAACAGAGAGAATAAAACGTAAAATATTTGGAATCTTTAGTATCTGAAGTGCTGAGTTAATTTCATGTACACATATCTGCAATTTTTTTTGTTAATTTCTCCCCACAGATCAACCTGACCACCTCTCCAGCGGCAGCTCAGTTGATTAGCCGGGCCCAGAGCATCAGCTCTACCCCCACCAGTATTTCACAGCAAGCTGTTCTGCTCGGCAGCCAATCCAGCCCCACTCTCAGCCAGGCGCAGATGTACCTGCGTACACAGATGGTGAGAGCATTGAGATGAGAATCATAGCCACTGGCACATTTACACAAGCACTGCATGCATAAATCAACACGAACAGGTTTATAAATTGGTTGAGTAAATAACTGGAGCCTAATTCTGTCCTTTCAAAGCTGTGTATTTTATGTCCCTGTTTGGATGTTAGTGTAACACCTAGTTTTATATTGATGCCAGAATAGGTAGCACACTCCTTTATCAAAGCCCAGAAAGTTCAGGGTGTTTAGAGGCAGCATGAATGTACAAAAACACTTCCGAGGTTGCAGATATTCTCTCCTCTCTTATTCCCCCTACAAATTGTTGGACGACTATAATAAGTATGATTAGTTATAGCTGGTTGTTTCTAACTCGTCTCTCAGTTTGCCATCAGTTGCAGACACAACTACTGTCATCTCATTATAATTCTGAAATGTGGAGCTTTGTATGTTTAATACTTTCCAAAAACTTTGATTTAAAGTTGTGCACATGAAAAGCACCTCTTAGATATTCTGTATATTCCCTCCCTTTAATTGGGGCAACTGTGACTGAGTGGTTAGAGCAGTCGTCCTCCAATGGGAGAGTTGGGAGTTTGATTCCACCAGCAGTCACATGTTTTAAGTGTCCCTGGGCAAGACATTGAACCCTTTATTGCCTCTGATGTGTGTCCCCTCGGTGTATGAATGTGATTTAAAGCACTGATTAGTTTCTACAGATTCAGATTAGCTTTGTATAGATCTAGTAAAGTGCTGTATGAATGGGTAAATGAGGGCACAGATTGTGTTGTAAAGTGCTTTGAGTATCTTGAGAAGATAGAAAGGCGCTATACAAGTGCAGTCCATTTACCATTCACTTGCTTGTTTTTATACACATACTCAGACTTGAAATTCCAAACATTGTTTATATGACCCCAGATTCTTTATCTTTTTGTATATAAATTTTATAAATGCCCAGAAGGTAGGGATTTGTAGTTGTAGGTAAGGCATTAACAGAGTACTCGAGTAATCTACACATCGATTGCTAGGACATCTATCGAGGTTAAAAATGTTACGTCGAGTATCCGTAGTGACGTCATATTATGTGACCACCATATGTCCGTAGGGGGCGGTGTTGCACTGTTGCAGGTCACAGAGCATGGTGTAACATCGGGTCCAATCCACCAGAACCAGTTTCGGTTTAAGTTTCGCTTTTGACGTGCTGCACGTTTCTTCACGTTGCAGTTTAATAATAATAACTAATAGTTTAGTTTTTCCTGTGACTTATTTGCAGTATGATAAATGGTAGGAGCATAATATATGCTCCCAATGTTTTGTTGGTCTTTTTTTGTAAATAATTACCTTTTTTTGCAGTTTTATTTATTTATTTATTTTTGTATCTTGAGATCTATGACGTCATCAAATACTCGAGTTCTACTCGGGTTTTATTATGTTAATGTCGAGTTTAAAAATTATATATTCGTTCAACCCCTAGTTGTAGGTGGCTCTTATTTTTTAGAAACAAAAAAGAAGCATGTTTTCCTTTTAACCAGAACAAATGAAATGTTGGCTGAGCTTTTGTCTCATTCAGTTCACATTTTATTCATTCGTCTGTGGTTCAGGTGGCCAGGAGCTTGGGCCGGGCTGTTCCTCTGTCCTCGCAGCTCATCTTCACCCCAGCTGCTTCCGTGACGGCTGTCCAGTCAGAAAGTTCCTCACAAGTAGGTTCATTACACAATATTGTCAAAAAATATATATAATCCTTTATACTTGCATTTACTGTAAGGATCCATCAGAAGTAGTTCATCTTTCTCACCCATTTAGCAGATTTTCATTTAAATGTTAAAAATCTGTCAGTGATTTTTTTTTCTTCTTCTAGTTTTCAAACATAGACATGACCAAACAAAACAATGTAACCAAATGCACTTCTAGTTGTTTCAACGTCTCCCCTACGTCACTCTGATTTTCAGAACCAGGTCCAGAATCTGGCCATCCGTGGCCAGCAGGGGGCAACCACGTCCTCCTCTCAGACTCAGACCCCTCAGGCTCTCACTCTGAAGCAAATCCCGGTGCCTATTCAGCCCGCTTCACTCGTCAAGAATCCCAGCCAAGGAACCCAAACCTCCACAGGGGGGAAGGCCAGTTCCTCCGACAGCCACACTGACGGAGCAAAGAAGAGTGATGGTCCAGCGGTCACCGAAGTTCGAGCTTTAAATATGAGCCGCAATGTTACAGCTGTCAGCGCTCAGCCTCTTATCGCACCAGGTAAGAGGAACTTCTTATTTTTTCCAACGATTTTAAAACCCTATAGAGAAAACCAGTGAGACTGACACATGCACACACCCACCCACACACACATACAAAATATTTTATCTGAAATTACTCATTAATGTATTTATATTCTACAGATAAGTTTAAACCAACTGATATATCAAAGTGTGATTCTTATTTTTTTTTCTTTGGCTTTATTATATAAATATTTAAGAAATTCAAAGTTACTCATTGTAAAATGACGACTGGACAAATAAATAAATAAAATAATTCAAAGAAGAACGTAAATCTGCACAATATTTTTTTTTCTAATGACAATAGTTGTTTTTGAATGAAACAAATTTAGAAATTTTGCGACTGGATGCCACATGTTTATTTAAAACATGTAGATCACATGTTTGCCAACATTTGAATATAAGTCACTTGTTTACCTACAAAAATTATCAAATTGACTGAAAATAGGTCAATTGTGTCTACTTCCACAGAAAAGTAATTTGGTCCAACAACTTTTATGTAATCATGCGTGTTTATGCTCAGGATTGTTGAATAAAGTATGCAGATAGAATAATGGTAAATTTACTTTTCTAGAAGAAGTTTTGCAGAAGCTGGATGTGTTTGAACTCTGAGCTGTCTTTATGGTACTCCACAGCCCTGCTTGATCCTTGATATTTATTGTGTGAATGTTTATGAAGCATTCACACTATCGTGATCCATTTTTCTTCTGTACATTTTTCCAACATCTTTCTCGTTCCACAATGTTTGTGCCTTTTTAACAAAGTATATCAAAATGTTCAGCTCTTTCAGGACAATCCTGCTATGACTTTTTGTATTGGTGGAACTTTAGCTTTTTGAAATATTTAGCCTTTTCTGCCATTTTTTTTCCTCATAGAAAATTAATTGAGCTCATGTTACATCCTTCAAATCTTTATATCTGTTTATAACATTTTACTGCTTCTTTCACATTTTGTTCTGCTTCCAACTTCTTTCAGATTCCTTGTGAAAATTTAAACATTTTTTCAGCTACTCTGGTAATTTTAGCTGTTTTTCAGCTGTTTTGTGCTCCTTTCAGATTCTTTCTGCTAACTACAACATTTTTGTGCTTCTTCTAAATTATTTCTGTTAATTTCAGCATGTTATGCGCCTTTCAGCTTATTTCTGCGTTTTAGCATTTTCTGCTATTTCAGCTACTATTTAACTGTATCCGTAGTGCTAATGCTAATTTGAGCTTTTTCAGCTAATTCTACACTTTTTTACACTCGTTTCAACTTTATTCAGCCTAATTCAGCAAAAATGTGCGCTCTCCACTTCCTTTTGGTAATTTAAGCTTTAATAACTTTTATAGCTTTTTAGCTTTTATAGCTACTTTTCAGCTGTTTTTCCTCATTTCAGATAATTTCCACTTTTAGTGCTCATTTCTGCTTCTTTCAGCCTAATTAGGCAAGATTGTGCTCTTTCTACTTACATTTGCTAATTTAAGTTCATTCTACATTTCAGCTAACTTGTTAGCATTTTTTAGCTACTTTCAGTGGTTTTCAGATCAAGTTTTTTGTGGTAATTTCTGCTACTTTAAGCATAATTAACATCTTTCTGATAATTTTTCAGCACTCCCTTCAACTTATTTTGGCTATGTTTGTTATTTCTGCTACTATTGAGCTGTTTTTGTGCTAAATTTAGCTTTTTCAGCTAATTCCTTTTTTTTTTTTTTTTTAGCTCTGTCCACTTCCTTCTGGTAATTTTAACTTATTCTGCCTTTTCAGCTACTTTTCAGCTATTTTTTGTTGTTAATTTCAGCTTTTTTAGCTACCATAATTTCTAAACTTTTTGCTCATTTCTGCTTATTTAACCCTAATTCAGCAAATATTTGTTCTTTCTGCTTTCTTCTGCTAACTTAGGCTTGGTCTTCCATTTCAGCTACATTTCAGCATGTTTTTAAACTAATTTCAGCAGTTTTTTTTATTTTTTTTAGCAAGTTCTTCAGCCATAAACATTCACACTGCATTTTTGCAGGAAATGCAATTTCTCTAGTTCTTATTGTTTTACTTGACCTTTTCTTTTGTGTTCTCGTCTTTACACCTGAACGTCTTACCCGAGATCTTGAGCTTGTCTGATTCTACCATATTTTACCTACACAGATTGCAGCCAATCTAATGTAGATTAGTCATCCTTTTTTAGTTTCTGTCCGATTCGGCTCATTGCTTCATTGTCATGTAGTGTGGACCCACATTTCAGAATTGCATATCAATACTGCAGATGTGGAAAACTAACAAAGTAAACTCTTTCAGTCTGCACCATTTGACATAACTCAGGATGACCTTTCATTTCATACTTTGTAATGAGTAACTTTAAATGTCAAACAATTTATCAATAAAGCAGTCTGCTTCTATTCTTTAAAGTTTTGTATTATTTCGGCATAGACACCAGTACTAAACAGTTCATGGAAAGTTTGTTTTCATTTCTGCAGACGGATAATTTAAACAGCTCAACTGCCTGCCAGCTGCTTCATGCTTCTTTTTGAAACAGATGCTCACGTCAAACCAAAAATAAACCTGAGGTTTCAAGCAGCTGTCAGATACACAGCAGAAAGGCACCCCTGTGTTTGTAGTAAGCTTAGATGAGAAGGCATTTACACTTTGTACTTTTAGGAGCTTTTTTCCATACAGTGACTTGTCAGGGCCTGTATCGCAAATCCATTCACTCACTAAAAGGATGGAACCAGGCGTGTGATAAACCGTGTGTTGCAACGGTCTAGCTGCTTTGTGAAAGCCACACTCTTAACACTAAAGTGTTCCTAAACCACTTATTTGTGTCATCTGAAGTTGGCAATTACATTTTGTATTTTTTCTCTTATGTGTGAACTAGCCAGCAGTACATGTCGATTACATCAAATTAAGCCTATTTCACTCAGATAAATTTCCTCTTTCTTAAAGGACTCCTGATGAGAACATACCTACCATGAAAGTAATTTTTGTGGATGTCTGTGTTGCATTTATAGACTGAATGCTGTTTATGGATATTTTTGTTGTGATCTGCCTGCTAAAATGTGTGTGTGTTCTGTTTTTGGTTTGCGGCTCTGTGAAGGGAGTGGGAGGAGGGATTATCTGAGCGTGTCAGTGCACAACTGCGTCTTGTTTTGTTTCAGTAATGGATTCGCATAAAATGAAAGGAAGGATGGAAGCTGAAAATCTGGCTGCATGCTGTCTGGGAAAAAAAAAGAACTTTGGTTGCCATGGCAGCAAGCCACGAGGGACAGGTGTGCACGTGAGATGCCGGGGAGTTAATTCACTGTTGATCGGTAGCAGAGGAAGCGGGATTCAGAGAAGGATTAGAGCTTGGTTTCCATGATTCTGATTGGGTCATTAACGAATTAGATTTTTCAGCATAAATCACAAAACTTGACATGTCATTGTTTTCAACGGTTGCACATAACCTTGGTGTCATTAATAGCTAATTTGCCGTGTTTGTAATGACTAAATTATCCTTTTGTTTAAAGAAAATTTACATATAATTGGTATGATTTTGCATACAATTAATAATAATAATATAATATAATAATAATATAAATTATAATAATAATAATGTGTTATGTATTGTCATCATTGTATGTTCCCATACAATGGCAAAATTGGCCATCTGCTTTTAACCCATCCACCACCAGATGGAGCAGTGGGCAGCTATGGAAAGCGCACAGGGAGCAACTGTGATAAGGTGTCCCACTCAGAGACACCACTAGATGTGCAATGACCGGGGATCGAAACCAGGGCCTTCGGGTCTCGAGTTGGCTGCCCTGCCCCTACACCATCTTGGCCCCATTTAAAAAGTAAAAAAACAGTTTGTTACTCTAAGTCAAAACTGATGGGGATGGATTACGTTACTATCTGAAAAAAAATTATTTGAAGATTTAACAGTGTTTGTGGCTGAGGGTTAATAATTAGCCAGTGAGCATCTTTCGATTACAAGACATTGAAGAAAATAGCATTAGATTGTGTAAAGCAGGGGTTCCTAACAATCAGGCTAAGGACTGGTACCATCTGATTATTTGGTCCATTGGAACCAAAACTTCTTAAACAACTTGAACTTTTTTAATATGCATTGGTCTGCAGTGTATTTTGTTTTGAAAAATTATTATTTTTGTTTGTGCCTCGTTCTTATTCTTCACTCATTTGCTCTCATTTTTATATAATTGTAAACTTAAAAGCTAACCTGATAGAAATTATCAAAAATTAAATAAAATTTAAAGCTTATAGTAAAACTATCCTTGAAAAAAGTTTATGAAACTAGCCCATGATGCAAAAAGATTTGGTAACAGTTTGGTCTATTGTACCCCAAGACAACATTTCGTGGACAATACAAACTAATTCATTAATAAAAGGATGATGAGAACAAGTAAACAGTTAATTTTAGTACTTGAACAAGAAGCACTTCCCTGTATCTCACTGTGCTGAACAAACCTTCGGTGTCAGTAAATTTCGCTCAACAAGCTGCTGGAACTTTAAAATATTTTTTCCACTTACATTCAATGTTGGATCTATTTGTTTTCATTTTTTAACATACTTTTTTCCAAAAATCTTTGTACTTTTAACTAATAAAGTATAACATGTTGTTTTTGTTTTTTTTACAGAAATTTTTCTGTCCCCATATTGAAGGTGTGCTGAAAAGATTAATAAAAAGATGTTGAATAAAATGTTTTTTTTCCAGAAGTGCCTCAGTAATACATGTTTAAACCCAAGTGACAAGACTGCACAACTCGGGCAAGGAGAGAACTTTGGGGAACGTCTTGAGACATTTTGGACACACTCTTGCAAATGCTGTTCCCAACTAGTTGCAGCCCAGTAAGATACATCTACACGAATGTCCTCATGCATGCTCAATAATCCAGGTAGATTAATCTGAGAAGGTTGAATCAGGTCCTCTGGATGGATTCTTCTTTGTTGAAGCATTTTAGTCTTTTATCCAAAAGATTTCTTCAGTCTGAGGAGCTGCAACAAACTCTGTTA